GACACTGACTCACTATCTAACTGCATCATAATGCTATCAGATAGAGACCATAGGTGTCCGCTAGCCCTTCTCTACCTTACCGGGTTCCAATACGAGCTTGTGTGCGTGTTTTTGCGTTTTTCGGGGACTATTGGTCAGGAGTGAACGAGAAGTTAGCGAAGCCCATACCTCAACGTAGCAATATTTAGCTATAGTCTAAGTACGGAATGACACTCTCTCACTTCTAAGTCGCACACGTCTCGCTATCATGCATGTGTCCCCGCTAGGCCCTTCTTCCCATATCTCACTTCTCCAAGTATAGGTTTTAATCCGGTTTTCGCTCATTTTTTGCGAACGTGAAGAACACAAATTACAGACCTCAGCCAATTTTTCTGTCGAGTAAAAGTGATGGAATAACTACGCTCACATTACTTCTAACTTGTCCTACTTTGCCTCTCATGACGTATGTGCCCTAGCCATTCTCCCCGCCACTTTCCAATTAGTCCTGTAACGGTTTTGTGCATTTTTCGCTACACGAAAAGAAGACAGAACAGATACGGAAGACAAGGAATATGTGAATGAACGAAGTTATGGATCCCTCCAAGCATTTTACGTATGGTTAAAGTGTGCATTGACACTCTCTAACTTCTGACATGTACCGTGCCTACCTCCGCTCTAAGCAGTATTCCCCCCACCAGCTTCGATATAAGAGTTTACATTTTTTTGGCGGGACCACGTGCAGAAACGACTTTAATTACCAGCCATATCCGTCGCATAAAAGTGTGGAATGACAACTTTAGGAGTGCATAAGTTAGAGGAGGGTTGCTCAGGCTATGCTGCCACTAGACTGAGATAGACGGTGTTCCTGTGCGGCCTATGTGTCCCTAACCTCACCTTCCATAAGGCTTGTCACGGTTTTGCGTTTTTCGTCGCGGACATGTCAATGAACGAAATTACGAACCAACCATCCTCAAATTTTAATATAGTTAACGTGTGGAATGACACTCTCTAACTTCTAACTCCACCTTTGCCTGTCATAAATGTGTCACCACCTTTCAATATTGGGTTTTAAAGGTTTTGCCATTTTTCCAGGCACACGAATGAATGGAAAGTTTCCAAACGTTCAAAAGCATTGAAAACTGTTAGTTTTACGTTATTTGCTCTGTTCTATGTATTTTCTTAGGTTTTCTCCTTCTCTACGTTCTTTCCCCATTTTTTAACAGTTGTAAAAAATGTGGCAAAGGCTGAGGTAGGAGAGAAGGTAGTGGTGTGGTGTGTGGCAAGGGCAGTCAGGTGGTGGGATGACGAGATTAAGCAGAAGCAGAGAAGGGAGGCTTACAAGAAAATTCTTGATTATCTATGGGAGGAATATAGTAAACTGCATAGGGAGGTGAAAATTTAGTGTTCAGAAGAGCTTGAGGTTTGGAATGAGGTAGTGGGAAGAGCAAATTCAAATTTTGAAGGTAATAGGAAAGAAATTAATTTGGGCATTTGTTGGTAGAAGGACAAAGGGTAAGAGGAGGGGGATTACAGCTTTGAGGAATAGTGCTGGGGTATCTAGTATAAATGGGCAAGCTAGAGATGTTAAAGAGACATTATCAGCAGTTGGGCACTTGTAGTGTTGAGATGATAGTTGGAAAGAGGAAATGGATAAGAAAGTGTGTGAGTTTCCAACAGATTGTGTGGGAAATGTGTTGGATAGGGAAAGAGATTGCATTGTGTGTTAGAAAGTTGAAGAATAAGAAGACTGGTGGTAGTGATGGGCTTGTGGGGGGGGGCTTCTAAAGTATGGTGGATCAGTGATGGTAGAGTTACTTAAACACAGTAATTTGGTGTGAGGAGTTTGTGCCACCACAGTGGAGGGAGGGCCTCATAGTTAACCTGTTTAAGAAGGGAGATAAGGAGGATCCTGGGAATTATAGGGGCATCACTCTGCTGAGTGTGGTTCGGAAGGTCTTTTGTAAGGTATTGAACAATAGGTTGGTGAAGCATCTGGAAGAGGGAAAGGCATTGCATGAGGGCCAGGCTGGTGTTAGGGTTGGAAGGGGTTGTGTTGATAATATTTATACGCTGAATGAACTCGTGCAGGGTAGACTAAAGGAGGGGAATGAGTCATATGCACTCTTTCTAGATGTGCAGAAGGCATACGATAGTGTGTGGCGTAACGGCCTGTGGTTTAAGTTGTGGGAATTTGGGGTAAGAGGAAAGATGTGGAAGGTCACAAAGAAGATGTACGAGTATTCAAAGAGTGCTGTATTGTTGGATGGGGAACGGTCCGAGGCATTTGATGTGGAACAGGGGTGAGCTTAGGGATGTAGCTTATCTCCAATTTTATTTTCCGCATTTGTGAGTCTAAGGATGAGTTACAGACGCTTGTAGATGTGGTGCATACCTACTGTCGAAAATGGAGGCTAAAGGCTAATGTGAGTAACAGTGCAGTGATGGTGTTCGCTAGGGAGTCGGTGGATGGTGCTTGGAAATGGGGGGAGTGTGTTTTTCGTAGAGTATCTAAATACACATACTTGGGTGTTGATTTTACTAATACTGGTGCATGGGATGTACATATCAAGAATGTGTTAGACAATGGTAGAAGGAAGGTTAATCTGTAATTAGTAATAGGGATAATTTTATTAATTTCAGTGCTCGCAGTTTGTTGTTGCTGGCGATGGTTAGGCAGTAGTGGTATAAGTTAGCGGCATTGCCAGGCAATAGGTATCCGAAGAAGCTTTTTAATCTGGAATGGAATTTTAAGCCACGGAGAGGAAGGCAGAGGAAATTAAGTGTTGGAGTAAGGTCATTGACGATCTCTTTTCGTCATTATGTCTTGACAAGGCAGAGTGGTTGCATGATATTCAAAATGGAGATTGCTCCTTGAAGGGCTTTCTGTCTATAGTAGGGGACAGTATTAATGAGAGGGAGATTAGAAAGTTTGAAGAGGGGCTAAATACCAAAGAAACATTGTATAACACATTTAGCAAGGTGGTAGAGTTCAAAAAGTACTTGCATTGGAAAAGTGATGATTAATGTTTAAGTTCAGGTCAGGCACGCATGGGCTAAATGAGGAACTCGGTAGGCATAGGGGGAGGGAGTGGGATGAAGGAGTGCCTGTTGTGTGATGATGAGTGTGAAAGTGTGAGTCATGTGTTGTGGAAGTGTCCAGCATATAGTAGTCTTAGGAGCAATTTCTTAGTTGCTCTGCAGGAGAAGCTTCGGGATGATTGGTTTGAGCTTTTCCAGCCGCTTGATAGTTTCAGGAATGCGTCCTTTATTAACCCTCGGGCGCGTATGCGCAGCGAGGGTTACAGTACTTGGGTCTGTCTGTTACTCTACATCTTACCTCTCGAATGTCTGTTCGTCCCAGAAACGATACCGTCTACCCAACGGGCCACGAAGGTCATAAAATATGTGGGGTTTTCTCTGAAAATGCTCCGTTGCAGAGCTAGAGCGCGAAAAAGCCAATATGCAAATACGCAACGGACGAGAAGGCTTACCGCGGTCTGATCGATCCGCCTGCTCTGCGTACCTCGGAGGCACCAGAAGATGCAACGCAGGGCGTGTATCGCCTCTCGCATGCTATCTAGTAGTGTAGTTAGCCCGCGTCAGACTCTGCGCGAGCTGGCAAGACCACGAGTAACAGCTAAAACTAAACCCAGCCCATCGATTAGTGATACAGGGCATGCGTTTACTCACGCGTGCGCGTCACAATGCGCCGAGGGTTTGCACTTCAGTGCTTTTCATATTGGGTAGTGAGCTGTGGGAGGTTAATTTGCTTCACCTTGTTAAAGGTTTTATTTCGGATGTTTGGGAGCTAAGAAAGGTTAGGTTATATGGCGATAATCCCAGCGTACAACAGACCCAGTCTCAGATTGCGTCTGGGGAGCTGCAGGGTGTCGCTGGTGGAAGGGGTGAGTTGAGGTGTCTGGGAGGTGAGACAGACACCGCATGTTCACATAGTGTATGTTCCGTTTGTTAACGGTTCCGCCCATTGCTCTGGGTGCGTGGTCTATGGCCCTAGTGATATGGCAGCCACCTGAGTATTATTATCGTTTTCCTGATTTTGCGCTTTTTCTATGTTCATATTTCAAATGCACACGTTTTTCTTGGTTTACCGACATTTACACAGCATTTCCACGTTGCATAAGTTTTTTGCACACATTTAAAAACTGTTCTATGTTTATCCTCCGTTCAACGTAATTTCATAGCAATTTTCCGTGTATTTTCACTTATACTGCGCACGCATTACATGTGCCACAAACATACTACACAAAGATGGAGCTGAAGACTAAAAGTAGTTTGAAAGTCAGCTGCAAAAAGGAATCTGGAGAATACAGGTTGTGGAAGATAGAGATGAGTCAGTTAACTGTACACAACCTACTTGAAGAATGCTCATGACATTGTTCTTCTTGGAGAGACAGCTCTGACTTTTCCTAGAGCACCACGGGACGGTGGAAGGCAAGGTGGAAGGACAGGGGGATAAAGCGGTAGCATCCCACTGTTTCTTGTATAGGCCGTCATTATACACGTACACATCAATATATGGCCAGATTATGACCAAGAATACCGCCTTCGCAAGGATGCTTGCCGTCGCATACAGTATACAAACCGGTCGTCTAACGCTTTTCCCTTCTGCCTTTTCAATCAGACTTTCTCTCAAAATTGCTGGCGATCCGGTAGAAGACAACTTTTCAGGCTTGATAGCTGTTCATTCTGCTGCCTGCGCCGCTGTCGAGAAGCGACCATGGGCCACGAAAAACGTATCTACTCGTAGCGTCTTCTCCAAGGGTCAACGTGGTTTTGCGTAAAAACTCCGCCCACTAATCCTCGGTGCGCAAAGCGCCGCGAAAAAGCCATAGGGCCGTTGCCAACGCCCCGTTGCTACGGAAATTTTATGATTACGTATGATTTCGTGACGTCACTAAGTTGGTACGAAACAACCGTGACGTACACGTCGCATGTGCAACAAATCAACTCGACTTGTGCGCATGTTCGAACCGGACATTTAGTACGCATGCGCTTAAACCAGATTAAGCGCGTGTTTGTGGAAGGAGGCACGTTTCCCTCCGGCTACTCTGGTTAGTTGGTTTTGAGTTGCAGATCACGTCCAGAATGCTGCAGTTTGAATCTAGCGACGAGTTGGATCTTGTTGATTTTGGAGATTCAGAGGAATGTGTGCGAGGTATTATCATAAATAATTGTAACAGCTAGTGGAGCCAGCTGTCGAAATACCGTTCTGACACGCCTTCTCCCGGAGGTGGTAGGAAACGCGTCATTGATTGCGTATTACTGTCCGTATAGAATGTATAATTATATGCAGACACTCAAGCGTCGCTAAATCAATGTCAAGCCGAGAGATGTAGCTTTTAAAAGTAAGCTTATACTATAAGATCTGCTCTCTGTGACATTTCAAGAGGGTGTTTCAACTTGTAACAGGTGGTGGACCAACACCTGCATTCCTGAAATGTTATTTGGTATAGTTTGCAATTCGACCAATGGTCCAACCCCCTCTTGTGTCATGTGTGTGCGTGCAGTGGGTCAACCTGTCTGTGTCATAAGAAGGGGAAGGGTGGGGATGGTTGTGTAGTTGCGTAAATTTTCTACCCTTGCCAGAGCCCATAAGCACGGTATTGTAAACTCATGATTTTCTAGGCTCGATTTCTGAGTCAAGGGTATATAGAAAAGGCGTGAATATTCTTACAAGTAAATAAAAAATCCTGCGAATTGAAAAACAAGCGGCATATAGGGATGGTATAAAAAGAAATGTAGACAAGATAGGGATGGATACATGAAGTATGGCTAACGAACAGAGTTGAGCACGCTGGCACTCATGACCCCATCTCACAGTCCCTATATTGTTATCTTGGTAAAGTATTATACATTTACCATTACAATGTATCAGGACCTATAACTTGGAAATACTATCTTCTTGTCTCCTTTTCATCCCTACATGCCTCTTTAAATTCTTTTAATTACTTTTCTCCACTCATTTAAATTTTGTACTATGCACTACTCTGAAGCCCCCTACAAAAATTTGAATGCTTGTTGATATGTAATCCTCATGTAATAGGCATGTGTACCAAGTTTAATATCCAATGTGTGCTACCATTAGCAAGTTTAAGAGTAATTGTGACCCGCTACGGGAAAGGGACTCATTTGACGCTGGGAAAAATGTAGCAAAGGATCCTCTCTACACAGTGCTATAAACGCTACAACAATAGTGCATACTGTTGGCAACATGAAACGCAAAGGGGTGTGTACTTCAGAGATACTTTGCGTGGCATATCTCGCGTCAAGTACACTGCAGAGACTTTATTTTTACACGACAATGTAGCGTAGTTTTTGTTCCTATTGAGTTTTATAAAAGGCAATAGTGAACCCATCGCACTATTTTTACTCCTACCCCACAATAGCAACTCCACCTCAGATGAACCCTTTTCGTGTAGTGGGTCATAATTTTAGAGAAATATGCCTATGTGGTCTGTGGTCGTCATGGAAACGAAGTAATACGCATGCATAACGAGTTTTATTTCCATGTGTGCTACAGTTAGCCAGTTTGAAGTTATTTTGGAGAAAGTGCCTGAGATATTAATCAAATCAAAACCACTGAAGTGCTAACTCTCGGCGCAAAGTGCACGCGTTGAAGTAAGCTGGGCTATGCGTCGTCAACGGAACCAGTTTCTTCAGAGGCTCTTACATGCACTCTACTGTGTTTCCTTGCTTGCGACACAGACAGGAAGGCATGGCCGCATCCACAAACTGCTCATCTCACGTGAAATGTTGTGCTACATTGCGGACATACTTTGCTCAATTTGTTATTGATTGGGTTCGCAAAGTGCACGCGTCTGTGGGTGCGCCTGGGTGCGCATCAGCAAGGTGGCCTTCAAACAATACTAGGCCTGTATGCGATACGAACAACTTCTGAGCTAAATGTTTTTTCAGTGTTCTAGCTAGAAAATAATGACAGTGGTGCTATCCATCACCTAGGGGGGTCTGGGGGCAGGTCCCCCAGGACCATTTTAGCATTTGGACTCTCAGAGATTGAACCTGGGTGAATTTTGATGCAAATATGGTAAATTAATAACATCTTTAAAACACAATACATTACCTCTTCCTTTCATGCTTCCTTGCTACTTCCTTGAGCACAGCTGGCACTGGAGGTGCTGACGTGGTAGTTCAGTTTTGAAAACTTACTATATACTTATGTGCATAGTACTTACGTAAACTATGAATATGTATTCAAGCACTTGTGCATACAGCGGGCTGTTGCAATAGAGCGGTGGTGGAGTGTAACTGTAGCGTGGTGCTGCACTGTTCTTCCCGCGCTTTAATGAGAACCCTGTAGATTTGAATGATATTCCGTGATATATAACTAGTGAAAAGCCATTATGCAAAATAATACTTGCTTCACTTGACTTCATCCACTTGCTGTGTGTACTTGGGCACTATAAGTCACAACAGAGGGCATGTAACAAGTGCTGCATGTTATATGTTAGCCAGAATGAGCCTGTCTGAGAGCTATATACTAGCAGGAGACCATGAGTAAATCGACGACGCGTAGTCCATCCATCAATTAGTGGTGCCAGGCATGCATGTAGGTTTTGATGTTTCTTTGGCAATGAGGGTTTGCATTTTTATTCCACATCACGCATTGATAACTGACTTGTGTCTTTGCTTTCTTTTTACATTCATGTTTTAGAATCTATTATCCATCTTAACATTGATGAAAGTGATGAACTGTTTTTACTAGCCATCCGGAGAAATGATGCGGCTGTCACTGAGAAGATGCTTAATCAAGGTGTGTTAAGTATATAGTTTGTAAACCCTTGGCGCGCATCTGCAGCGAGGGTTATAGTGCTTGGTCTGTCTGTCAGTGAGTGCGTCTCGACGCTTGTTCTAGCACTACAGCTAGCATGGAGACGGCGAATTAACGCATAACTCTTGGCCCAACCATCAATTAGCGATACCGCGTATGCGCAGTATGCTGGGGGTGTGCATTTCCAATTTTCGTGGTGCATATTCTGATGCACAGCATTAAGCTATGTGCGTAAATATAACCACACGATACTTTCAGTATCGCAGGGTGTAAATATAGGTTACACTATGCCCACGAGACGGTTTAGTGGACATACACTACGAGTGCGCAGCACGAGTAAACCTTCGAGTGGGTGTAGTGTAACCAATTTGTACCACAGGAATGCGCACTAAGACAACTTATTAGTATGCATGCCATGGTGTATGAGAGCTCATACACCACATGTGAGTGTATGGCTGAGTCAGCACACCATACACCATGGCATGCATACTAATGAATTGTCTTAGTGCGCATACACTGCGTTTGGTGCCTTTGATTTCTAGGGCTTCTGTGGTACTAATGATGAAATGAGGAGGTATTTGAGGTTTCACCTACTAATATTCGTGCTTCTCACAACTTAAAATAAAATTGGTATCATAAAGATGAACTTTCAGTTGAGTATTGCTGCCCACTTTTTTTCAAGCTTCAGCATAAAGCATGGTTTGAACAACTGCCCACAGTCTAAGGATTCGCCGAATTTTCTTGCAGTATTAAATGTGCACACTGATAACTCTCAAGAGACTTTCCAGTGTAGTCCTTATCGTCTTTTTGTTAGAGTTGTCTTCACTGTGTCTGTGAACATTGCTTACAGTGAACAGTTGAGACGGGCAATACGTGCACTAATTATGTTCCGTATTGTCTCCCTTTGTAGGACTTTCCAATAACTGTCGTTCTGTTGAACATTTGTTTGTTTTAAGCTCAATCCCTGGCTGACTCATACAACATGTACGGGCCATAGCATTCATCATTGATTGTACTGCTTTCTCACCATCGATCGATCAATTTCCATAGGGCTTTCCAAATCGTGATGGTCTTGGGGGGTTTAAAGATACTCCATAGAAGTTTAAACTATCGAAACTGCTTTAGGAAATGTTTGTGGTTAATTTTTTAATACGAACCTCTCTCAGCTCCTGCTTAAGTCTTATTGATCATTGTTTTTTCTAGATGCGAAGTATGTTCAATTCATTTGTATCCTAGCACCTTCTTCTACAGTTTCAACGATCGGATGCCAAACGTTCTGTTGAAATTATCAGAAGTCTGTAGCTAGTTCAGTTTAGAAGTTGTGGAATTCTTGTGAGAATAATTATAGACCATAAAGGAGTAAAGGAGTGATATAAAAAATGAAAAGCACTGAAGTGCAAACCCTCGGCGCACTGTGACGCGCACGCGGAAGTAAACGCATGCGCCGTACCACTAATTGATGGGCTGGGTTTGGTTTTAGCTGTTACTCGTGGTATCTTGGCAGCTCGCGCAGAGTCTGACGCGGGCTAACTACACTACGAGATAGCATGCGAGAGGTGATACACGCCCTGCGTTGCATCTTCTGGTGCCTCCGAGGTACGCAGTGCTCGCGGATCGATCTGACTGTGGTAAGCCATCCCGTCCGTTGTGTATTAGCATATTGGCTTTTTCGCGCTCTAGCTTTGCAACGGAGCAGTTTCAGAGAAAACCGTTCGAAATTTTTGACCTTCATTGCCCGTTAAGTAGGTCGTATCCTTTGTGAGACGAACAAACACCTGAGAAGTGAGATTGAGAGTAACAGACACACAGACAGACAAACAGACAAACAGACAGTAACCCCCGCGCATGCGCGCCGAGGGTTAATAAACCTGTGACACCCAATGCCAGAAAGGTCCTCAGCACCAATGACAAACATGAGTGTCAGTAGCTTTCAGATAAGGCATGTTTATATAGTAATTTTGAACTGGCTTAAGTGAGACGCATGGGGTTTGAAAAAACTTCGTTTAGTAGCTGACATCATTAGAAGCTTTAATCTGTGACACAGTGAACTGATATCTTTTCCTGTCGCATGCACAAAGCTGAGTAGCGACTCGAGATCCATTGCACTTGCCCCATCCCTCGACTGCCATATTCAGGGCCTTTCAAGCTGACATCTGGCAGAACTAGTGATATCACAATCAAATTCTATGTACGGTTGCCAACGAACTTTGCAATGTTAGCGACGGTCTACAGCTGTGAGTACACATGGAAACTATGATGCATTGGCTCTTCTTGTATGAGCGGGATTTTCTGTGCTTAATGTATAAAGATAAAGGCTTTTAAAAATCAACATTTCGGTCCCCTTTGCCAAAACGGTAAGGGTGTGCCTGACCTTTGCTTGGCCATGGCTTTGCTGTTCATGTTCATAATTGGTCTGACGTACACAAATTTATCCTGACACAGTGCTTTACGTTTTACATACTGGTACAACACATGATAAAATTCACTGTAATGCAGTCACATGCTCAGTCGTTTGACACCCAGCTACCCCAATCCTCCCGATTAGTGAAGTGTTCCGAGGCAGTCTCAGTGCTATGCTGCCGTTTGGGTTGTGCTCGGGAGTCTTCTACATTTCTACGCCTTTTATTATGCCACCAGAGATCTAAAGATTCACTAGGATCCCGTTGGGTCCTATAGTGACTATACGAAGAAGGCTATCGAGATGTTTTCATTTAGTGAAGTTTGTCAGTCGGTTGGTATGCACAAAAAATGCTCAAAAACTCCAAGAATATTGGGCGAATCCTTAGACTGTGGGCAGTTGTTCAAACCATGCTTTATATCCCATCCCTATCTTTTTCGGATTTTGTCGGCAGCTGGCAAAATGTGGTTTTCGTTGTTGTATGCTGCGTACATTGCACATGTGAACAATCTGAATTTTTGCTTGGAAATGTACCTCTTCCCAGAGCGGATGAGCTAGATGTGGTAAACGAGGTGTTTGGGCCAATGAACACGGCAGCCGGAATGTGTCGCCCTCTGCAGGGGTGGACTTGGCGAGGTTGGATGAGCCTGATGTTTACGTGAGGGCGGAGGAGTGTCGAGATGGGCTGGCTTGAGTCGGATGGTGGTCGGTTTCCCATTGTAATCTATAGTGTAGTGTTTTGAAGAACGGTTCAGAACTAGATACGGGCCGTCATGCGGGGGTTGCAATGAACTTCTGATAGCATCGCGACGAAGAAACACCTGCGAACACTCAGTTAGGTTATCGCTGATGAACGTTCGTCGATGTTGTGGATGTCTTGTTGGAACCACCTGCAGCTGGCGCATAGTGGCTTTTTGGTTGGTCACATACGTTGCTTCGTCCACAGGATTGTAACCGTGCGACCCCTTCTACTGGGAGACCAGTGTAGTCCAGTACACTAATTCCGCTTCAGTGCACTTGATGTCGTCCTTAAAGGCAGTCCGGATTCCTAGTAAGACGAGGGGATGGGAGTCCATCCATCAGTTATGATCCAGGGGTGACATCAAGGATGCCTTCAGCTGACGATGCAACCTCTCCACCAGGCCATTGGCAATTGGGTGATATGATGTGGTACGGACCCGTCTGGAGCCTAGCAGCTGCATAAGTTTCGTCCAGAAGGCGGATTCGAGTTGGCGTTCAAGGTCGGTAGTGATGGTGGATTGGTGCCAAACCTGCGATCCAGCCACTTAAAAATGCCTCGGCAGCTGATTCTGCAGTGATGTTGGCAAGAGGAAATGCCTCTGGGCAACGGGGGAATCTATCAATGCACGGAAGTAAATATTTTGTAACCCGGAAGCGGTCCTACAAGATCAATGTGGATAATGTCGAAGCGAGTGTCTAGTGTAGCGAGTGCAGTGATGGTGTGTCGTTGGACCTTGGCTCGCTGGCACTGTGGACATGCCTGGGCCCACTTCCTTTCGTCCGCTTTGATGTTCGCATAGATGTAGCGAGTTGTTAGTAGACATTCCATAGCTCGCACACGGGAATATGAAAGGGAGTGGAGGGAGTCAAACACCTTTCGTGGGTACGCTTGTGGTACGAATGGCATGGGCGCGGGACTCCTATTGAGAAATCGCAGATGACTGTTGCTTTAGACGCGGACATTGGGACACTTTCGAGGGGTGAGTGATGATGGCGAAGACTGGAAAGAGGCAAGGTTGGGGTCATTCTCTGGCGCTGTTGGAGTTCGTTTACCTCTACGCGAGACAAGGCGTCAGCAACCCGGTTGTCTGTTCCCTGGACGTGTCGAATGTCGCTGGTGAATTGTGAAATAAAATCGAGGTGTCGCACTTGTTGAGGGGAATGTTGTGTTGAGCGTGAAGGTAAGGCACGTGTCAGTGGTTTGTGGTCAGTCAATATGCAGAATTCTCGCCCTTCAACCATCATGACGTATAGCGAGGTAGACGGCCAGCTGCTCCCGGTTGAAGGTACTGTAACGGGAGTCAGCGGGTTTGAGTTTCCTTGAGAAATATATAGGAGATTGGGCGCCACTCGTTGCCACACTTCTGCTGCGAAACTGCTGTGACAGCTATGTCATAATAGGAAGGGAAGCTGGGAAGTTACTGTACATGGGGGTACGCAATATATATTGCAGTACCTGTGCTCGTGAAGACATGGAGAACAAAGCACAACCGGAACATGATTGCTTCTAAAACTGCAGTGGGCCTTCAACATCTATAGACTGACATATAATTACAAGGGCAAGCAAGTGTGGCCTAAGATACACAACATTCATTGGTGATGGAGATAGTTTGCTACACCAAGATTTAATTTCACGTTCAAAAAAAATCTAGTGCTAATCACGCAATGAAGTGTTATCGTGCGTCACTAGAGACGTTGGTGGAAGACAAAACCCGTTATAAAGGGAAGGACAAACAATCCCTACAGACATACACAGATACCACTGAGGGATTCTGCAAGTGAAGCTAAAGATTTTTGCCTCACATACTCAGACATCCTCTCTATGATGTTTGTACCAGTGTAAG